GGAAGTCCATTTTCTTTGAGCTCTTTGAATTTCTTTGCTGCTTACTTCCAATATGATGATCAGAAGCAGACAGAGTCATTTTTCCCCATGGACTTCCATCTGTTAGGCATGCCACAGTTAGCACATATTGAGCAATTTGTGCAAATTTCTGCTGTTTATTAAATTGTACTATTGTGGAAATTGGAAACTCCATAGTTTTAATGTGTGGGTTACGACCTGTCCTAAATACAGAAATCTGTAGGCTGCCTTGACAGCAGCAAGTTGGCACCAGTGCAGGGCTAATAAACTGGAATCCAGGGGTCTGAATTGTGAAAATACATACGATTCCCATCCAGTCATATTTCTCATACATCTCTAACAAGGGCTGGGATGAGAGAAGGTTCATGCGGAATGTTCTTAGGAACCATTTAAACCCTGGCTGATTCTTAAAGATAAACGAATGAGAGACTGTCCATATCGTTGCGACCGCATTGGTGAGGGTGTTCAAAGATAGGCTGGACATGCACATGGTGGACATGTCATGAGCGGAGCCGGCTGGAGCCAGGGGTCAGACTAGATGGTCCGGGAGACCCTTCTGACTTGCTCTGTTTCTATGTTTCTATATCGAATCTTATGATGTAAGAGAGGAAGAACATGCACGGTGCCTGAACTTAAGTGCAATTATCTAGTTGAAAATTAAGGATCTATGGCTGGACTCAGGATGGGGTAGAACAAAAGAGTCAAAAGCTTAACTCTGAGAAATGAGATAGAACCTTAGGGAGTTTAAGATTGGCTCACTGATAATTAATGAAACATGCATTTGAAAAACAGGTTGAGGTATAAAGGACAAAAGTGGGGCAAGGGTACTCGAAAGAATGGACCTGCCTGCGATGAATCTTTCCATGTTTTCCATAAGGCCAGTTTAGTGATATGCTCATAGATTGTCTGACTGTGGGGAGGTGATCTAGTAGCCAGGTAAGCATTTGCAGGTACCCAGAGGTCCATGGGGACAGGCCTTCTTAATTCAATCAGTGGAGGGCCCACTTAGCCTGTTTGATACTAGCTCTCCTCCTGCCATCCACAACTCCCATTCCAAGTAGTCTTAAAGCCTCTCAGACGTGCTGCTTTTCTCAGAACAAAATGGTTACTTTAGAACAGATGCTGATGGACACCATCTGTACATAAAGCTATCATGGCTGAGCTCTCTGTAGCATTTTCCACAAGTGAAAGGCAAAATTAATGAGAACACATACATTCTGGAGGAGCTTAAGTTGACTCAGCCAAAACTATCTTGTCCTTAGATCACTCAGAAATTGAATAAAACTTGGGAAAGGTGGTGAGCCCTGTCCTGTGCTATCTCATTTAGCACTTAACTTTACCTTGATTCACAGCCCACTGCAGTCACAGCAATTCCTGCCCTTAATTTTAGTAGCCTCTTGTGTCAGACTGAGTTCCTGTAGTGCCTGATTATATAGGTTTTCTCAGTCAGACATCCTGCTGAAGTCACTAGGCATTCAAGGTGAGTGTTCCTTCTCATTTATCAAGGAGTGTGTAGAAAAGTTTAATTTCAGCGCACCACTCCCTGGTATCATTGAGTGGAAACATGTATTTGTAGAGTTTAGCTCCTTCTGAAGCAAATTGAAAATAATTATTGAAATGGCTGGATGAAGAATTTAATTTCTAATCTCTCCCCTTCCTCAAAATAATTAGTTAAGTGGAATATCTGGTTTTTAAAATATTGTTGCCATTAAGTACCTCTTTATATCCCTTTAAAAACATTCTAAGAATGAACATCCTCTACCTGCATGTTATGAAAGAAAAACATCCGCCTTCCCAGCCCATGCTGGCTGGAGGCTGCAGAGACTTGTAGGACTTCTTTCTGTATAAACATGCATAGGATTGCAAACCTATTCCCTTTCTTCTGGTTGGTATTTGCACTAGTTGAATGATAAGAATGTTTAATTTTCTGCTTGACCTTTCAGATCCATTTGATTTATCAGCAGTTAATATTGTGGGGCCAACTAATTAGGGGCCTTTCTTTAAAACTGGGCAATATGTGTCCCATTTGTAGTTGAATGCTTTTTCAGGGTCCTGGCATGGAAACAGCTGTGGTGACCCTGTGTGATGACATATTTATTTATTTAAGACTTTTATGGACTATCCATCCACTGGCATCTCGGGATGGTTTACAACAAAGCAACAGATAAAATAGGGCAGAGCATCCAATAATTCAGTAATACAAAAACCACATTAAAACCGATTAAACATTGAAATAATGGGAAAATAAAAAGGTTTTCATCTGGTACCAAAAAGAAAAAAAGTCTTGGCGCCAGGTGAACCATTCTGGGGAGCATATTCCATAATACCAGAAGACCCTTCTCCAGGTAACCACCCTCCTAATCTCTTCCAAGGAGGGCTCCTGAAGAAGGACCTCAAGGGGCAGGAGGGCATATAGGGAAGGAGGCGCTCCTTTAGGTATCCAGGACCCAAGTCATTAGGAGAAGGACAGGGAGAGTGTGAGCTTATTAATTCCCCTTGATTTCTTGGCAGTTTTTGATACCATTGACCACTGTATCCTTCAGAAGCAATTGTCTGAGTTGGGAGCAGGGGTTACTCTGTTGCAGTAATTTTATTCCTGTTTGGATGGTTGCCTGCAGAAAGTGGTCCTTGGGGAATATTGCATGGCCCATTGGATTCTCCAGTGTGTGGTTTTGCTAGAGCCAGTTTTGTCCCACAGCTGTTTAACATCTACAGGAAACAATTGAGTGGAGTTATCAGGAGTTTTGACATGCATTGTTATCAGTATGCTGATGACATGCAACTCTAGTTCTCTTCCTCAAGTGAGGTTGTGGATATGTTAAATTGGTGCCTGGCTACAACAATGGATTGTATGAGGAGGGCCAATAAACTGAACCTTAATCCAGACCAAGATGCTGTCAGTGGGTGGTTCTTCTGATGAGATGGTGGATACTCAACCTTTTTTTGCTAGGGACACACTCCCTCAGAAGGAGCGGATTTGTGACTTGAGGGCTCTCATGCAGCCTTCTTTGCTACCTGAGGCTCTAGTGGCCTTGGTGGTACAGACTGCCTTCCACCAACCTTAGTTATCTTATCTAAACAGGGAGAACTTGGTTTCTATTGTCTATGCTGTGGTAACTTCCAGGCTAAATTACTACAGTGCACTGTATATGGGTCTGCTCTAACAGATAGTTCAGAAGCTGTATGTTGTGCACAACTCAATTACTATACTGGTATCAGGCACCAGAAGGTTTGAACACATAACAATGATTCTGACCCACGTGCTGGAAGCCCAATGTTTCAACTCCAGTTCAAGGAGCTGGTTGTGACCTACAAGGCCTTACAAGGCTTACAGCTATAATCCCTGATGGAGCACCTCTCCCAGACTGAACCTGCCTCTACACCACATTCATTATCCAAGCCCTTCCTCCATGTATCTGAGGGAGTTGCAAAAGCTGTCAGTGAGGGAAAGAGCCTTCTTTATGGTGGCCCCCAATTATGAAATCATCTCACTGAGTAAGCCTGTCTGGTGTCAATACTGTTACCTTTTCAGTGCCAGGTTAAAACCTTCTGTTCCTGGGTATTTAGCATCACGTGATAAGATTTTGAATTCATCTTGATTTTTCCTGTCGTTTTTAGATACACATATTCCTTTCTGTGTGGTATATTTATATTTTCCTGTACATTATATTATAATATATTTTTAGTTATATTTTTAAGCTTCCTGAGAGCTTAGGTAATGGTGTAGTATAGATATGTAATAAATGAAATGAAATCATCCCTCTGTGTCATACTAAATATGAAGCTGATGCTGAATCCAGAGATGTTTCCTCTAAGGAAGCACGCTCTTGCTGTAGCAGCAATATTTCATTGTCCTTGTACTCCAGTTAGCCCACCTATTGCTCTTGCTGTGCAGAGTGCTTTCTGTGAGGTCACAGGTGCCCACTAGGCCCCTTGTATTGGTGGCAAGCAGCACAATTCCTCCCTTCCATGCCCCGTAAACATGTTTTAAAGGCCCTGGCTGCATTTCTGGAGTGCTCATCAAGTGTCATGTGCATTTATATGTATATTTTTCAGACCTTTCCAAACTTTTTGCAAGTCTGCTCTTGCCTCCTACATGATATGCTATTTCAGGAACTTTCATTCGAAACTGCTTAATATTGCTAAAATGTCTTTGCTGACTGTGCACTGCCCTGCTATGCAAAGCCAGTGTCACACACATACCAAGAGAGATACGGGTATAGTCCTGCAGTAAGTAAGTCTACCTAAATCCATTACGTGAGGATAGAATACTGCTGTACAGGTGGAGAGTCAAATAGTATTTAAAGGCTTTTTGCATTTGAACAATAATCCCACAAGCCCCTTTAAAGAACCAGGAGCGTCATATCTTGACTGCACAAAGAGCTGGACCCCGGAAGTTGATGGAAAAAGGGGACCTCCTGCTTGTTCCATTAATCGTGGCAGCTGTTTGGATCCAGTGCATAATAAATGTGCAATAAGACATAAAATAGCCTTGCTCCTGTTCTCTACCTTTTCTTAAAAAGGTTCACTAAGAGAGGTTACTTTGTTTATCACCCACTGTGACACAACATCTGATAACACCTATAAAACTTGTCCCACTGCATTTTACAGGACTGATATTACATATGAATGAATATAGCAATGAATATATTGTCTATGGTAGAAACCCTATTTATCCAAGAGCAAATGCTAGATTAGGAAGCTGAGAAAATAAAATAACTTGTCGACATTCGTGCACATATCCACCTGCTCTGTCAAGGTTGCCACTTGGCCCTGGAGAATCAAATGTTTGCTTGTTTTGCCTCCATTCTTCCTCAAGTCCACGAACTAATCATGTAGAAAGACCTATAATGCCATATTGAATGTTTTCAGTGCTGATATTTAATTGATCTCATGGATAGACCATGTGAGTAGAGAAAAACCTCACCAAATTCAGTTTTCCTAGATCCTAATTTTTCCTCATTTATTTCTTTATATTTTAGGTATCCTCCAGGGGCCTACCTTGGATGCTAAAACAGTAGCACATCATCAATCATGGTTGTTTCAGGATTAAAGGCTGTTCCACTGTCATTGCCAAGCCTTTTCTTTCTCACTTTTCACCTCTCTGCATCTCAGAATATTATTGACTATCCTGAAGATGAACAACAGTGCTCAAGAAGAGAGCATCCTGTGATTTCCTTTGAAGGTGAGAGATCTTCCCTTTTTATCTCTCTCCCTTGTTTGAGGAGGTGTTTGGGTCACTTTGGACAGCTGCTTTCTGGAGACTTTCCTAATTTCTTTTAAAGTGCAATTTTCTAACCAAGTGTGTGTGTGTGTGGGGGGGGGAACTTGTCCTGTCGTATTTTTACATCCAATTTCTGCTTTATTTTGAAGGGTACAAAGGGAGCTCTTTCAAAAATTCAAACACATTTTCTCAAATGTTCAATGAGCTCTCTAGTTTGGTAATTTAGGATCCACAACCTTTCAATGAATGATGGCTATTTGAGTAGATCCCTTGCTCAGTACTTTGTGGTATAAGCTACCATAAACACTGAATAATGGACTAGATGGAAATACATTCCTTCAAGCTGTATATGTTAAGGGACTGTCTGTGCCTACAGATACGCTATAAACCATTGACTATAACTTTCCAGATGGTGACTGGAGAATCCATCAGTTCTTCGTCATGGCCTCTGTGCATCACACATATGGGTTGCTGCACCTGCGCAGTGCCTAGGCCGGAAAGATCGAAAGCTAACGGTTTTGGTGGGAAAACTCCACTCCCCTCCCCCTCAGTAGTATGCATAGAGCGGAGTGTCCGCCATTTTCTCCAGTCTTTTGCAACCGCCGTTCGCTGTGCCTCGTGCCTGCTCGTCTCTTGCTCAACTCAGTATTTGCTCTTTTATTCTTATTGCTCTTCGTTCCTATTACCAAGTTATTATTCCATTGTTATACTTCTCTCTCTTTTTCTTCGTTCTTACCTAAAAAAAAATTAACAAAAATATTATCTTTCCCTCTTTCCTATATTCTATTCCTTCCTTTTCTACAATGGCGCAGCGGGCGGCCTTCCGCAAATGTGCGGAATGTGGGTCCAAAATGTCTCCAGTGGACCCTCATGACTTGTGCCTCCTTTGCCTTGGTGAGGGGCACAGGATGGATAAATGCCGCCATTGCCTTGCTTTTACGAAGCAAGCGCGAAAAAATAGGGAGAATCGCTTGCGAAAGCTCCTATGGGACCAAGCGCTGATGCAATCGGATCAGCCTCTGGCAAAGCCCAGGCTGGCGCATGCTCCATCCACCAAGCACAAGGCCATTGCTTCAACTGCATCCTCAAACATGCCCGGAAAACGCCCTTTGTCCACGCTGCCCATGCCTCAGCTGCAGCCATCGGATGATGGAAATTCCCCCTCTGGGCCGGCTCAACAATCCCTCTCCTCCCTGCGTAAACAACGGGACAACAGGAAGCACGAAGGGTCGGATCACTCTTCTGCCCCTAAAAAGGTGAAGAAAGACAAAGTGGCCAAACTGCCCCATAAGAAGAGGCATAGGGATTTGGGCTTGACAGCACCATCGATCCTGATGGCAGCTTCGGTACCAACACCATCGGTACCGGTGCTTCAGGCGGCGATGCAGGTTACTCCACCGGGGTCTCTGATACAACCTCTCAACAGGGTTTACCTATTGAGTTCTACCTATTGAGTTCTACCTATTGAAACTGCATCATGAGTCTATCTCCGATGGGGAGATTCAAGACTCCCCTCCCAGGACTCGGTCTCCGACCCTGATGCCTCCGGCGGGAGTTCAGGATCCAGGTCCAGCCTCTCCACCGCCACCTCATTCCCGGATAGACGAAAGGCAAGAAGAAGGATGGTTTCAGCCCTACTATAGTTATCCATCGGGCTGTGAAGATTACCACTCCTTTGGATTTCGTCCTCAACCGCAGGACCATTCCTCACCGTCCACTCATGAGGATATGCCATCCACCTCTAGACATGTGGAACCTGAACGTCCCACTTCACCAGGGACTTCCTCGTCGGAGCCGTATCACCTCGGGCCCAACTCTTACTCCGATGCAGATTCCACTTCCCCTGATGTTCTCGTAACATCTCCGGGCCCATCGTCCCCGGAAGAGCCCCACATCTCATTCAAGGAGCTCATGTCTAGACTTGTTCAGTCGCTCGAGATCGAGGCGCATCACCAGCCAGATCCGAGCACCGACAAGTTCTGTGACATTGTCAGGGAACATCAGTCACCTGCAATTGTCCTATCGCTAATCACAACTTTGCGGCAGGCGATGACTCAACCTTGGGACTTGCCTTCACAGACTCAGCCCACAGTGAGAAGATACGAATCCATGTATCGGGTCCGTGAGAGTGATATACCTTTCTTGCTCCATCATCCCAAGCCAAATTCTGTGGTGGTCGAATCATCCCAAGGCAGGGAAGCCAAGGAACATACCACTCCCCGAGATAAGGAGGGCCGCGAGATTGATACCTTGGCACGCAGGGTCTACGTGGCTGCAGGACTTGGTCTTCATATGTCTAATTACGAAGCCACCCTGGCCAGGTATCAGTTCTTCATTATGCAATGGCTGAATAGCATTGTCGCCCCCCTGCCTGAACAACAACGGGATCTGGCTAGGGCTTTCATCAAGGAGGGTATGCAGGTGGCTATACAGCAACTATCCACAGCCCATCATCATGTGGATACGGATTCGAGGGCTCTTGTTGGGGCAGTCTCACTGCGAAGGCATGCCTGGTTGAGGAATTGCAACTTCCCTGATGAGATGAAGCAGTGAATAGAAGAAATGCCTTTGATGGCTCCGGGCTTTTTCATTCACGGAGGGACCATAAGCTCAAGTCCATCCACGAATCCCGCATGACAGCAAGACGGATGGAATTGCCTAGACAACAAAAACGTAAGTGGACATGGTCGCGTCCATCCTACCACTACCAGCCTCCGCAGAGACAATATCAACAGCAGCCTCAACGTAGGAGACAACAACCCCACCAGCGTTTTCCACAGGCCCGTCGTCATTTCGACATGGAAAAGCGCCAACGCTGATGGGATGGGCGAACCTCTCTTCCCCCTCCACACCCACCCTTCCCCCTCCCTTTTGGGGAATGGCTGCAAGGCCGACTCCCCATTTGGGAGTCCATCACATCTGATTGGTGGGTTTTATCCATCATCCAGCTCAGATACAGAATAGAATTCGATATCGTTCCTTCATCAAGCCAGATTCGATTTACACCGTGCTCCCTGTTGTTAGTAGACTAAGTACGCCAACTGCTTCGTAAGGGCGCGATTCGACAACTCTCTAGCTCCAATGGGCTCCGCGGATTCTATTCTAGATATTTTACGGTCCCTAAACGGGACAGTAGTCTTCGTCCGATCTTGGACCTCTGAAATATCAACAGATTTATCAAACCAAAGAAATTTCGGGTGACTACCCTTCAAAATATCCTTCCGCTGCTGAGGAGAGAGGATTGGTTCGCCTCACTGGATCTGAAAGATGCCTACTTCCATATTTCAGTCCATCCAAGCCATAGCCATCTTCTGCATTTCACCATCAGGACCAACATATACGAATTCAATGTCCTCCCGTTCAGATTGGCCACAGCCCCAAGGGTCTTCACGAAATGTATAGCACCGGTGTGTGCACATTTATGGCTTCAAGGCATCCAAGTGTATCCTTACCTGGATGACTGGCTTATAGTTTCGCAGACCTGCAAGAGTCTCCTATCAGCTGTTGAGGTGACTTGTGCACTGTTGGACAATCTAGGACTTTGTATTAACTGTGAAAAATCATCCCTTGTCCCTATGCAGGTGATAGATTTCATCGGAGCTCGCCTGGATTCCACAGTTGCGAGGGCTTTCCTCCCCCTGTCTCATCAGGACAGCCTCTGTTCCTGTATCTCTCAGATTCAACAGAACAACGTTGTCCCAGCGCTCTCAATTCAGAGACTTTTAGGTCACATGGCTGCCACCGTCGCCATTGTCCCACACACCAGGTTAAAGCTCCGTCCTCTTCAACTCTGGTTCAACAAGAACTTTCGTCCACAACGAGATTTGCCTGACAAACCACTTCGAATGCCCTGCGCTGTCATATGGACATTGACTTGGTGGACTACCCCAACCAACTTGAATGTGGATACCCCGTTCATAGCCCCTCACCCAACACTGACTCTATATACCGATGCTTCGCTGATCGGGTGGGGCGCGGTATGCGCAGGACTTCATTCCTAGGGCATGTGCAACTGACAGGAAGTGTCGAGTCACATCAATTACCTCGAGCTCCTAGCCATCTTCAAGGCTCTTCAGCCCTTCGAGTAGACTGTCTGTCAGCAAGTGGTACAGATTATGTCCGACAGTGTAGTGGTGGTCTTCTATATCAACAAACAGGGTAGAACAAAGTCCGTTGCCCTAGCTCGTCTGTCCATGGACATTTGGGAATGGTGCATCCTGAAAGGCATAACCCTCCTAGCGGTCCATCTTGCCGGGACCAACAATGAGGAAGCCAACACTCTGAGCAGACACATGTCGTTCATCCACAAATGGGAGTTAAATCACCAGGTCTGCATGCAGTTATTCCAATTTTGGGGACATTCAGACATCGACCTATTTGCTACCCACAAGAACAGAGTGTGCAAAAGATTCTGCTCCAGAGCGGGAATAGGACCGGAATCGATGGGAGATGCCCTTATGATTCCCTGGACAAACTTCAGGATTTATGTGTTCCCGCCTATTCCTCTACTGACAAAAGTCGTATCAAAGATCGTGCACGACGATGCCACAGGAATACTGATAACACCTTGGTGGCCTCGTCAAGCGTGGTTTTCCACCCTCCTTCGGATCTCGAACGGCACCTTCCTTTGTCTTCCATCCAGACAAGATCTGCTAACTCAACAAAAAGGTGCCATCCATCACCCGGACTTACCCTCATTGAACCTCACAGCATGGCGAATTCGTTGACTACTGACACTGCTTCAGGACCAAGATCTACCAGGTCACTCGGTACTTCAACTCATGACCGTTCAGACCTCATCACTGCTTCGGTACTGATAGGCATACCGTCGGGACCGAGCTCTTTAGACCCAGACATTCTAAGGATTCTTGAGTCTGTGCTAAGACCATCAACTTGGAAGTCTTATGCAGCGAAGTGGTGCCGCTTCTCATCTTTCGTGGAGTCACGTTCATTCAATTCAT